ACCAAACATTTTGGCTAATATAAACCTTCTCACAAAATATTTTGGCTAGAATAAACCTCCTCAATGACAGTATCATATTTGTGATAGGCTTTAGATTGAGTATAGTAACCTATGAAGGTAATCAGGAGCAATTTAGCAAAAAGATTGTCATGGCGAATTGTTAATAAGATAGAGGCAGCACATCCAAAAACTCTCATATGTTTGAGATTGGAAATAAGACCAGTTAACCTTTGAAATGGAATGGACATCTGGACGGCTTTAGTAAAAGCCAATTTTGTATATATACTACTATTTTAGCAACCTCTTCCCAGAGAGAAGCGTAGGCAACAAAGCATATAATAACAGATTACGGGCCATTATAAGGACCGTTATATTTTAAGGCTAAAAAATGCCATTCTGGTGTGAGGTATAAGCATAAATGAGTTTGTGTTTAATACTTTATTGCACACAAAAGGCTTGATATGCATTTGAGAGATATTCTCTCTCCCCTCATCTGTTTGTATAGTAGCAATAGTTGTATTGTAATGATTCTCCACCAAGATCTTGAGTTCTTGAAACTATTGCAGAGTCTTGTACTTTATTTTCAGAAAGTAGATCTAGGTGTACTTTGTGAAATCATCAGTGAACATCAAGACATAGCGTTTCTTGGTTAGTGAATCACAAGAAAGAAATCCGCAAAGGTCGGAATGCATCAATTGTAGTGATTGCCTGATATGTGTGTGAGACTGCTTGGACACTTGATCCATACTTTGTTTGGCTCTGACACAGGTTGTACAAAGAGATTTGATGTGACAAATCTGAGGGATGCATGCGGCCAACTTTTTGGCAGCCATTAGATGAATTTTTTGATAGTTTGCATGCCCATGCATCGGTGCCAAAGCTCTACTTGCGCGACAGATCACGTCTGCAAATCTAATTGAGTACCTTCAATATTTCAAACGTCAGTTATTTGATTAGACGTGTAGGAGATGACGTTGTGAGGGGAGCCACATGCAAACAATTTGGCTTGGAGTGCTTGTGAAGACTATTGTGTGAATTCCTGCTCTCCCTGAAGTAGTTACTACGTGGATATATTTTATCAAATACATAGTAATTTTTAGAGTTAAATAATGCTATATGGCCCAAGTCGGTCATATGAGGCGACCTACATAAAGAAGATTTTGCTTAACACCGAAAACATAAAAAACGTCGGAAACCTTATTATTGCTTAAGATTAGAGATACTTTCCACAAATGGGAAAGACTTGGTTATCCGCAGTCCTAACTAAAAGATGTTCAATTTATTTCTCAATATCACAAAGCAAAGAAACATGTCCAATTAAATGCGGTGAAACTCCACTCTTGATAACCAAGATTGATTTTCTTTTATTTGACTGAGAAATGCAGATAAAACAACAACATCATATTCATTGCTTGGAGTAACCAGATCAGAGTCAAAAGACACATTGTTAGTCTCTTCGAAGCCAACTTTATGATGGTCATCCTGACCATAGAGATATAACTCAACGTTGTTGGCATTCGAGTGCTTAGAATTCTTTAACTTGTTGTAGGAAATCTAAAGGGTTTAGGGTTTGTTCAGGGTTTGTTGTTGTTTAGAATTGTTCATGGAGATGGTATTCACAACATTCATAGGACCAATGATCATGCTCTCCACAGTCCTTGCAATTATCTGGCTTTAGATTGGAAGGAGCAGAGTGAGAGTTCCTGCTACCGTGGATGTTGTCATGTTTATACTCTCAATAGTAATGTTGTAACCATTGACGAGAACTATTAGAGAATCACTGCACATGAGATTGACCTCGATAATTGTCACGGGAATCATACTTGTGATTCCGATCAATGTAGTTTTGATCTCAATGTAGTGCTTACGAAGATAGGAGACTCAACAACCTCTGTTCACTTGATCCCTTTGTCTCGTCATTCACTGTCAAACTCTTTCTTCGGGTCATGGTTGTTGCTACGTTGATCATCGTGGCATGATCGCTGCTGAGTACAGACAGACAATGATTTGGTAGAGACACCGGTTTGGTTTGACCCATGTTGATAAAATCTAAATATAAAATTTTGCTTTCATATTGAATATGCATTGGATACGCTTTCAAAATTCTGTTTGACCTCAAATTATAAAAAATACTTAATCAGTGTAGACACCGAACTTGTTTTTTATAATTAATGATAGTGATTCATAATTTGATGATGAATGATAAAAAAAATTACTGTCAGAATTGATGATTATGAAATCATGAACGATGAGGTGATATTATTCTCAAAGTGCAATTAAATTTCATAAAGTATGTAATTTTAAGAAAATTTATACAATATAACTTGAGTATAAATTAGTCTATGATTTGAATGATATACCTCAAACGATATCTAAAAAACAGCGTATCAAGAAGTATAGTTTATGTTATGTATGTCAATGTGACATTTGTATACACTTTAGTGATAAAATTGTATCAGTTTTCCAAGTAAATATTACGAAATATCTTCAAATTTTCTCATATGATAATTGATACGTAAGACCAAATCACAAATTAAAAGATGGTCTACAAAAAATTTTTATTGGAAATATTTTGAGGACAAATGAGACTTCCATACAAACAAACAATGATAATAACATAAAAGCAAAACACTATCACATGCTATACATCACTTGCAACCAAATGATTATAAAATTCTAAACTCCAATTACCTCACATTTTTTCAGATTTGCATGTATTTGAGTGTGCATCCATTGAACCATAGCAGTAAAACGAATAGATATGAATTAGAAAAATCCCCGCCATATGGTTACAAAATTAATTAACAGAGTGATATCATGAACAACTGCAAAATATATAGACAGCTTTGTGATTCTCCATGGAATTAAATGTAGTGAGTTATGAAAATTTGTAATAATGTCATAATTTATATTCTCTCCATGTTCTGGAAAAATATAACAATACAGTCGCGGAGACCTAATACCTGCAATAAACTTAGTCTACTCTCTCACAGATTGTTCTCATCTGTCAGTTGGCAAAGGAGTAGGATGACATGTTAAAATGAATCTGTGCACCACTCATGGATCGTCCCGTCCTTTGTGTTACACTTCTCAGCACTTAGATCCTAAGAAGCTAATAAATAATTGAGGAGCAAGGCCTTGACTGCAAAATCAGCTGCATATTGTAACTCCCAGCGTACACGTGCAAGAGATTCCAGCACCGTACGACATTTGAAGATCTAATCGGTGAGTGTGATCCGCCAAGTTCTCATGGAGACTAACGGAGGTACTGAAGTCCAATCAGTGGAGGCCATGAAGGTATGGCCGTAACGCTATTAAGTCTTCAGTCCACGAGAATGGGTTGAATCGGAACTGATTCGGGCAGAGCGCTCTGAACCATGGCCTCCAGGAGTAAACTTAAGAAATGCAACGCCGATACGAAACCAGGGAATGAGATCAGTTTGCAATTCACCCTGGAAGCCTTGAAAGGCTTTGGTGAGCCTTGAGAAGGAACAACCGACGTGATTAAGAACAGATATTTATAAAAATAATTAAATCATGCGATCGACCAAATTAAACCAGTCTGGGACGGTAGCGATGACTATGCGTGAACTTACTGCGTCCGTTTAGATCGGTTGGAGAAAGTCCTCGTCTCTGTATCTCGTAGTTCCGATAGTAAAATATGATTTTGCTCGGCAGAGGAGACAGGTGTGGGGTTAGCGTCGAGTATGAAGTTCGTGTCACTTTTCCCGTTGTTAGCTGCCATTTTACTGCGTAGCTGAGCACTGCGTAGCTGAGCACTGCGTAGCTGAGCATTGCTTGTGGAGAGGAAGGGTTGCTTAGGCATTCATTCACTCAACCATTGTAAGGCAGCGTGAAGTGTCCAGAATTTGTCTAACCTCGATGAGAAAGTGGAAGAGAACCTCCTGGTAGACCTCGGCTCTCGTCCACTGTCTATTTGGAAGAGATCGATCATTTGGAAGACATCGAACTAAGCTGGAAATGATGGGTTCTTTCCATACTTTTTGGTATACTCCTCGCTCCTTCTCACTCATTTGGAAATTGTACTGCGATTTCACGTAGGGTCGATCAGTCTGCAGCAAATGAACTCCCCAGGGCTTTCAGCATTTTGTGCTGATGAAACATGTAATCACCTCGTCAAAGTGCTGAATTCTGGAAGCAGGGAGCGTACTTCTGATAGCAATAACACACTGTGCCTGGTATTCACTACTTGAAACCACTTTGTTGGCATAATGTTGGACTTAGGCCACAGCCACTCGTGTCCAGAGGACAGAATGAGGAAGTTCTCGGATTTTGAACTAATGAAAGTGAGAAAAACAAGCAAGGAAAAAATGAATCACGTTCAAATGTTCCCCTGCATTACATTCCTAGAGGAGAAAAAACGAGTCCGCATGAGAAGCTCGATAACTATCCTCATGGATATTAAACTTCATGGGATCGAAGAGTGTTTTGATTCCTCTCATGCCGCTTATGACACTTATTACTGTGCAGGCAGGTGCTGAATGTCACGGGGTTGACAGCATTCTACGTCCATCTCCGACTTTTTCTCCCTCGGCTTTGTTCCGCCTTGGCTGGAGTTTGTTCTGCATCTGAACAGCAAACCGTTGTCTCAGGAGGTTGAATGAGAGACAGGAAGTAATAAAGATTCTTCGTTCCTGAATCACTTTATCTTCGAAGATCGGTTTTCGCATACACACCGATTGCAATGTAAGAGTTTCGCTAACGACTCTTCTATGGAGCAAGCTAAAATGCATACATAGCTCACGCCAGAGGTCTGTTGATTATCTGCTTTCATGTAATCACCACTGGCCCACTTGCTCCGGGTACACGTGGGAAATCACCGAATTTGGGACGCGAGCCACAAAAGTCAATGAGCGGCCTCTGCATCGAGCGAGGCGCAGAGGTGCTATCGACTTTCCTCCTTCCAAGCGGCCGCCAACCAGTGGCTTTGGACTGCGTGGGGCCCGGGAATAAAAGAGACCGTGCTTTGCAAGTCCCAGATTCTCCCGAAGCTCATATGCGTTGCGAGGTCGGCGGATGATCGATCAGAGCTCGACGGCGGCGGCGATCGGTGGATGGTGTCCGCCTTCTTCTTCTTCTCCTCCTCCTCCTCGCCAGGCGGATTGCCGGAGAATGAATGCTCGTCTGTCACCAGGTCCCGTCACACCGCGGAAATGTCGAGGATTTTAGGCAGGGGGGATTGCGCCGGCGCATCCTTCATGCGGAGCTCGTGGGGAGGTGAAGGATGAGACTGGGTGGGTGAGCTGGGCGGGAAGCAGGGGCGAGGAGATCGAGCGCGCGATGGATCAAGGGCCCGACGAGGGCGAGAAGAAGGATTTCCAACAGCACCTGAAGCCCCCCGGGTGGAAAGCGGCATGGGAGCAAGCGCAGGAGGCGGTGTTGCCGTCGAAGGAGACCAAGCGCGCGGCCAACAATCTGGTGTGGTGCGAGCAGGCGCAGCAGAGCATGGGGTGGCTGCTGCTGACGCAGATCGGAGTGCTGCTCGGCTCGTTCGGGCAGCTCATGTCGCAGAGCGTGTGCCTCTCGAGCTGGGGGATCTTCACCCTCGAGGCCATCCTCAAGTACTTGCGCAGCTGGGCGCACTCCCTCTACTTCCGCGATGTTCCTTGCGCCATCGTCGCGCTCCACGACAATAACCACGAAATCGCTTCCGCCTCCCTCAGGAAGTTCGGCCGTTTCGTGCTAGTGGGCACTCTATGCGAATTGCCGCTCTACGCTTATTACGTCAAGACCACCGTGAAATTCTGGCACGCGAATCGCTATTGCTACCACGAAGGCGCGGCATGTACCGAAGGCACGACCCGTCTGATCGAGATGCTCATGATCGCCATGGTCATCGCGTGCCTGCACTGGTTCTCGAGCCTGGTCACCGTGGGGGCCTTCATATATGCCATGGGGATGGGCATCGGGGCCTGCTTGCCCCGATGTCTCTCTCGATTATTCAGGAAACGGGACGAGAAAGATCGGCTCATGTGCCTGACCTGGTGGGTTCACCTGGCCCGGCATCGGCATCTGTCGGCCGTGGTGGCCAGCGCGCAGCCCTCCGACTGCGGCCTGCCGGGCCACTGGTTCAAGAGCAAGAAGGAGCTCTTCAGTATCGTCGAGGAATGTGACAAAGGCGACCACGTCCATCTCGACACGTCGCGCCTGCTGTGGGTGTCGCAGGAGATGGCGCTGCGGGCTCTGATCAGCTTGGCCAAGCAGAAGAAGCTCGACGGAGACGACGATTTTCCGCTCCTGATGCGCGTCGTGCGCGACGGGAGAACCGAGTTCTGCCGCGGCCTGGCGGCGACCGCCATCGCCGTGCTGACGACGCAGCCCGATGTGCTGCCGGTGGACAGACTGATCAAGGCCGTGGTGCCGCTGAAGCGCCTCGCCCGGTCAGAGGCCGTCGAGCACGTCGAGGTCGCCCTCGGGGCCCTGCTGAATGCCTCGCTCCACGAGAATTCCCACGAGAAAATCATCGTGCCCATTCTCGAGAGCAACGAGTTCGGCAGCAGATTCATGTCGTGCCTCATTAAGCACGCCGACATCGGCCACACCACGCTCTGTCAAGAGCTCGCCGTCGGCTTATTGAGCCGCCTGGTCGGGTCCACGAAAGGGAAGAGCGCTCGGACGGCGCTCATGTCGTACAAGGACGAGCAGGGAGTAGTCCGAGGCGTGCAGCTCTGCACCGACTTGATCAAGCACGGCGCGACGTCTCCGATCAAAGCCGGCGGGGCGGCAGTTCTCGCCGAGATCGCCTACTTGGAAGACTCGGAGCTGAGGGGACAACTGGCGAGCGACCCTCACATCGAGGAGTGCATTGAGGCGCTGGTCAAGGCGCTCGAGGCGGAGCAGACCATCGCCTTCTCGGCCGTCAAGGCCTTGTGCAGCCTGGCTTACAACAACCAGGAAGTCATAGCCACGATCGTCAAGGCCGGAGGCATCAGTTCACTGGTGAAACTGCTTAGTAACGACCAGGTCTCTCCTTGATGTGGTTGGGTCCTGATTTATTCGCCAGTCTTTACTTCAGAGTTTTGGGGCGATGGCGCGCGAGGACTAATGATTGTATCACAGTATTGTCCAGATTTCCTCGCACACAGCTCGATGCAAATTACACTCTGTTTTGACTTCTGTGGGCAAGGGTTTATGAATGATTCACAGTTTTGTACAGATTTCCCCCGCAACAGCTCGATGCAAATTACACTCTGATCTAAGTTTTGTGGACCTCGGAAGAATGGGTGAGTGAATGCGGGCGCCATCACCATTTGACGTTCACTGACTCGGCCGATTCAACGTGCGCAGATCCCCCGCGATGAAGACAAGAGATCGACCGTCACTCCTGTAAAACCTCACCTCGAAGTAAGCAAGCGTTTTGATTTCTCCAGACTGAATTGCATTTCCACTCTGAAGTTGGTTTTCTCATACTGGCAGAACGAACTCCACATCAGAAGACTGGAATCACCGACTGTACTATACAAACATGTGTTCAGCTCGATGTCATTTTCCGGCTGTGAACATGCGCCGGTGATTTGGTTTTGGAGGCTTTGAAGATTTGGACTTTTGTGTGGTCTAGAAACGCCGACTACTTGTTGAAATGCTGAGGAATTCGGAACTACCACGTGCAGGAGGATGATCGAAGCCATGTCGTTCGAAGCGATGCGGCCAGGGCTTTGGGAATCCTGGCTTCCAACAATTCCGAGCACCAAAGGCGGATCACAGAAGAGGGAGCGATTCCTCTGCTGACAACTCTGATGGCCAGTAAAATTCCCAAGGTGCAGGTCCAAGCGTTGGCTGCTCTGTCGGGTCTTTCCTTCCAAAACCAGTCCATTATGGATACGTTCGGCATTGGGAAATTCTTTAAGAAACTCATGATTGTTCTCAGATCAAATGAAGACCATGAATCCATGGCCGAGGCTATTGTGGAGGAAGTCGCTCGTGTCACCATAAATCTGATCGAGAGGAATGAGTCGAATCGGCTGGAGGCTCTGAGCCAGGGCGTGAAGGAGCAACTTCGAGATTGCAAGGATAGAAATAAGCCCGACGGGAGAGCCATGCAAACCGTCGAAGAGGCTTTAAATATCTTATCGGGTAAACAACTGACATGATCAGGTCCAGCCTTTCTTCATGATCCAAACATGCCCCGTCCTTGATACCGACCTGCAATGGCATGGCGGGAACGGTAGTCATAGCGCGATTCAGTTGTGTCTGTTTGGGTTCGGTGAGAGAAAGAATAGTAGGCAGTCGAAAAATTCGACAGTACGAGATGAACTCCGGCAGTGCTCCGAAGTGAGAAATCGGCTAAGAAGCCACTGACGCATTTGGTTCTCCGCGGATTTGGTTTCGGGTGATGAGAATTTGTTTTTATTTGTTTGTACGGTATACAGAAATGAGAAAAGTTCTCTTAATCAGGTAACTAAGCGCTGAAACAAACCAAACCCAGTTCTCTTCCATTTGAGAGTCGCTAAGGTTCTGAGGACTAAACTACGGAGAACCTGAAGGTGGACGGTTCGTATATATTCTGTCTGAAGAGAGAACATTAGCAGGGCACACATTAAAACAAAAGCTTGTAATGTACACATCGTACATACGATTTCTGCGGAACATGCACTGTAAAGCTCGACGCAAACATCGAATAAAAAGGTTGTAATTTACACATTGAACACAGGATTTGTACGCTTTGCAACACTGAAATCACAAACGGTTGGCTATATGAATCTGCGCGGACATTAGAATTCGCATCTGAGCATATTATTGATAATATGATGGTAAACTTTTCTCCCGAACTACCTTTTTCTCCATACCGATCTCTTGCTCATTGCCGTATGATTTCTGTTCAGACATATGATCCAGATTCAAATATGTACATATAATTTCAACAATGGTGCCGGGAAAAACAACACCCTGATATATATTCGTCAATTTGAGCATCTGAGATTCTGCAAAACATGTCTATAACTAATGACACAAACCTGATTTCGACATTCAATACTGAAACATAATGTTCTGATGTTCCTAACGATTTGGTACTACCACATGTAGCGTCTATGGTGGAAACTATCATCTATAGTATCCCCTAAGATTTATGAGTAGTCATGTTTATTTTAGGTTACAGTACACCGAGTAGTCTAAATTAACTAGCTTATCTAGACTTTAATTAAATTAAATTATCTATGGATTACAAGACTCACAGCCCTCTCTCTCCTGTTACCTCCGAACCACTCACTCGTTTCCAAGTGCACATGAGGCCATTCTTAGCTCAAAAGCATGTAAATTACCTATATTTATTTTTTAATGCAACTAAGTTAAATTAATTTAGTTACTTTGGGCGACCTACTAATATAACCATGAATGTTTATAAATCATATACGGTTATTTTAGGCGCCTTGATACAAGGGCTTGTAAGTTGTCTTTCAAGGTGCATTTCGGCGTAATATGTCAGGGGCAATCAATGGGAAAGAATCAAGCAACCTTAAACATGTCAAGATTGCAACGATCTGTTACAATCTTGACACGTTTAAGTTCATGAATTGTCCACTCAAAAGTCAAGAGTGCAACTCTTGACTTTTCACCAATTCATTTTTTTCTGCTCGCTGTTTACTACGGGAGCTGGTCACTGCTGCATCCATCTATCTTGCTGGAAGTGTCATGGGGAACAAGTCTAAGCTAATTTGACTTTGTGATTCTTCTCGAGGAAGCAAACGTCGATTTCGGATTCCTATACGTGAGCGAGTACAATTGGTGAATTCTCTTCGCAGTCCTACTAGTCCTCTCTGGTCTTCACCTCCGATACTCATATACTAGCAGACCCCAGCCCCCAGCAGAACGATTCCCCGAGCGCTCATGCGGGTGATATTTACACTTTGACCTCATCAAGCACATATAATATTATTCGGTGCTAGAGTTTTGCGTATTGCATGGAGCTTATCTTTGTTCTAAGTACCGCATGCAACTAATTTGATATGGTCTTCGTACAGTGATACATCGCTAGCGAGCGAGCCGAGCCCACATGAGCTCGCGGTATTTTACTGCCTACGTTGAGGTGAAAGATGATACTTGGGCTCTGTGAAGAAGCGCAGCAGCTTGCAAATTAGTTATCGATGAGTTTAAAAACTGGTCATAGACGTAGATATTAATTTAAGAGATACTGATTCACTCAGTAATTCAGTTCGGTTGACTTTGTTTCTCTTTTAGAGTCACCATCACAAGCAAGTTGACTCTTTTTTTGCTCAACTGTGGAAGTGTTCATAGATCGCGAGAAGGAGAATGAAGTGAAAAAAGAAATATCTTCGGTCTTAACACCTGGTCGATCCGCGGATTTTGAGTACGTAGCGCTTACGCCATTTGCAGCTATATGAATTTGAGAGTTGAGTCAAACTAGAAAGCTGAGTTGGTGTAGTTCTGATCATATCCTTATCTATAGGAATATCTATACAAATGACGTCGGTATTTCAATCGGGGATTGGAATCTTGATGGTAAACATTCTACGTACCACGCTCTCTTCCCTAGAGCTTGGACAATTTATGATGGTAAGCAACCTCAAAGTTCAATCCGTATGGAGTGAGTTTATGGTTCTTTTGGTTGTTTTTTGTATTCTTCTCTACATCGAACGTGTCAAATGTGAGGCACGTCAAAATCACGCATGTGACGAGCCCTCCACTGTGCGCCGCCGGCTCATCATCTGCACCATTATCTCTCCGCTTCATCGCAAATTGCACGATTTCTCGCGCGCAGAGAACATAATCGTGATGTCCGCTTGTGAATAAGGACGAGATCGTGGGTTCAACGATTCCTGATGAGTTGTGAGGAGATGATAGGTGAAAGGGAAAGCAACGATGCGACAATCCGAGCTCTCATTTTTCTCGAGGAAGATAACAACGCTGCAGTGCATCCCTGGAGCCAACAATCCGAGGAGAAAGAGTTTCGGCGGCTCGGGCTTTTGCTTGGGCATTTAGATTTGAGAAGACAAATTTCCTTTTATTCGCACGGCAGAGAAGGGAGTGATGCATTTTTCCAGCACATGCTCTTTTCGTGAAACTCGAGGCTAGATAGAGTTCAACGAGGAGCCCATTGGCATCTGGCGTTCGAAAAGCGGCCCATTTGACATAAACCTTCTTAGGTGAGCATGGATACAATAGAGCTCGCCGATGAAAATTGTGGAGGTAAAGCGCTCATGAGGAACACACTGCCTCAACAAGTTTCACAGACATACATCCACCTTCAAATTTGACTTGATGTAAAGACCTCGAAACACACATGATGATAGGCTTGCGAAGACAGGACGAATGCTTTCCAAGAAATATGACGACATTCAAGAGGAGTAATCACTAAGTAACTTTGACGTGGCTCACGCCTACCACAAATAGGAACACGAATGTCACGTTTTACCAAGAGAGTAATAGGAAGAACAACCAGACATACCATAAATTCACTCCACTTGCAGCTATAATTTTAGACCAATCACAACATACCGTATAGTAGGATGAAGGATGATTAGTCCAAAGTGAGTGATGACTAGCCGCTCCCTAAATTATTCACATTATTGAAATGCATGTAGTGCAATTGGAAAGATGAATACAGGTTATAACTTGGTTCTAAAATTATAGCTGGTGGAGATTATGAAAAGATAAATAATTATTTTTCTAGATGATAGCCAAATATGATAGAAAATGTCATAGAAATGTTCGTTTAGAAATGTCATATCTCTTTTTTGTTGCAATATAGCTAAAATCTATAAATCTATACGTGCAAACTATACGTGACATATTTGTAAAAAAAGTGAAGAAAATGCATTTTATTGCGTGATTTACCTAGGAAATGTGTTGTATTGGTTAAAAAAACTTTATATGCGAACACTATATATAAATGATAATGATGATGAAACATCCAAAAATAGTGTTATTTAAAAGTTTTGATATTTTCAAATCAATTATAATAAATTTTGTAAAAAACACAACTCATTAAAGTAATTTAGTACTTTGTTCGTGATTTTTTCTAATATTTTTAATCTTATTATACTTGATTTTTGTTATTTTTTTAATCTATAACACATATATTAAATTGAAAAGTATATCAATGCTCTGTTTATGTGAAATATACTATATTTGAGTCATTGTAAGTTTAACAGCATAACTTTTAATGATCATGTATTTTTTTTGGATATCTAATAATTTTTATTAATATATTTTGAATATGTGTACATAAATGTTGAAATAATGTTGTTAGATACTTGAAAATGAACAAATATTTCAATAAAATTGTAAATCCAATTAGGTTATTCTTCAATATAAATGATGTAATCCAATAATATTAAATTTTGATTTTGAAATTTTATATTCAATAATTCATATATATATTATAAATTATCAATAAAATTATTATTAGTCTTTCATGAACACTAGAAAAAGTTGCAGGATTTATAATAAATAAATCATTAAAATTGCACATTCAAAAATAGGTAATAAATAAGGATTGTTAATTGGATTAAATTGAAAATGTAAAAGATCATTACATATGAAATATTTATTATAGAATATAGATTCATTGAAAACATTCAAAATAAGTAAAGAAAATTTCATTCCTGAATTGTGTGCAAAATATATGGGTGCTATATTATTATTTTTTTTACTTTTTCAACATGCAATTGAATTATGTGCTTCATCAAACATAAAAAATATATAAATTTTCCATCAGTTTCATATGATTCCATCAAATAAAAAAGTACAGAAGAAATCAGTCTTGATATTCTGGTCTTTGAATAAGCATAAAAAAATTAAAGCTCTAAAACAATGTAGAAGAAAGTGAGTGTTAAAGGAGACTTTGAAGCTCCATACTCAAAGATCAAATTTATGGATTTTGGTTTACAGGTTGGAGGTTGTCGTGGCTTAAACAAGGTAATTTAATGATGAAACTCGGCAAACAAGTGTGATCATGATATAAAAATATTTTTTGTGATAATGACAACAATCTGGACACTTCAAAACCCCTTCCTCTGAGTTCCTACTTGCATGAGTTCTAGTTATACTATCCACACAGGAACAACACTAGGAGGAGAGACTTGAGCGAATCTTCAGAATGGCCTTAGCATCGTCCGATGGTGAAATGTGCCTCACATAATACTCGACGACCAAGAAAGACCTACTAAACTTTGGTTGAATCAGGTGCTGGAATTTGCAAGTGCGACAATATTTCCTTGAAGTCGATTTACGAAAGATGGAACCAGGGACGTTTGCATTTGAGAGACAATAGTAATTACGAGTTACTCACAGAAAGTGATGACACAACGAGGACGCAAACAACATATCAAGATCTATTTAAACAGGCTAGACCTCGAATCCGATACCTTAAAGCACTGTCTTCAAGACTCCTTGCCTTAGGACGCGCCTAGAGTTCAAGTTGCGAATGCAATCATCCTTTTCAGTCACAAAAGGAGCCGAGACGTGGAACTCTTTTGCGACTTGCACATTGGGTGGCAAGGAGAAAATCATTCATGCTCATCATTATGATGGAACGAAGCTCTATCTTTCTCTAACATAAAACAGAAACTGTTTCATACCATCGCTTGGCAGGTGAAGTCCACAGTGATCATGTACGTCAATAGCCTTGATCCAAAGCTCAAAGCAGCCGCACTTTGCCATTGTTACGGGGCCTCTAAAACCGTTAG